GTTACGTTAACGTTACGTTACGTTTACGTTTACGTTTAGTTAGTTAGTAGTAGTAGTAGAGAGAGAGAGAGAGAGAGAGAGAGAGAGAGAGAGAGAGAGAGAGAGAGAGAGAGAGGCTCAAAAGAACAGTATAGATACCTGAGCATTGTAAGTCTGTAACCCCACAACCGGGGATACAACAGATGCCTCCACACCAGGGGAATCAGGAGAGCCACTCCTAGAAACGAAGTGACCCAATGAATGGTACGTCAAAAATGCAGCTCGAAAGGTACCATCTGGAATTCGATAAATTGGATACCAAGCAACCGAATACCTGAAAATTTGCAAGTGAAATTTCATAGAACCTTTTAGCTAAGGATAGGTATGGAACTGTAATCCAATTATTGACCCATCTGGAACCTAAACTCCATGTTTTCCTAAAAATGAGCTTTTTACATTTTTGTTCCTTCCGCTACTTACGAAGTAACAACCTCCTCTGATCATAGAATCCCGCCTTGCATGAGAGAGAAACCACATCAAATTAAAATTATATTTATTTGCAATTAGCTACCAACCAGGAAGCAGGGTGGAGATCACGCAAACTACGACCCAAATTCGATGGGCTCCCATACACTTGAGACTTTGAAGAATCCCCTCTGATTAGCTCCTTTATCCTAGCATCAGAAACGATTATAACCATCTCAAACAAGTTGACTACATAATATGAGTCAATGTACAATTTTTGTATAAAATATAAATAATTAAAACACAAAAAGTCAGAGTGTAAGCACAGTATTAATTCAATACACAACAGTATTAACAGGGTAGGGAGTAATCTGCAAAAATGGTAAACGAGGAGATTAATGCTAAACAATTCGAAAGAACATGAGCACTTAACAGTTCACAAGTTTCAGAAATATCCTAAAATGACATTTCCCCTCCATAAAAATGCTCTACTCTTTTAACTAATTCTTATGTTAAATATGGGGGAAACTGCATATATCATTCATACATTCTAAACATACATTCAATCCCAGGAACAAAATCCATCACTCTGATTAAACGTAGTAACAAGCAGTTAAAGAACCTACAGCTTCTGTTATTGTTCTATCTATAACTAATCCAAGCTTCTGGTAAATGAACCTTGGAGTCGTTAGATGAGACATATTTTAAACAAGATTCCAGTCCCATTAGGACACAGATCACTTACTTTTCGAATAACGGTTTCCGTTGCTGAGGCTGCTCGCATTCAAAGTACTCGAACAGAAGTTCTGAATCATCAGACCAATCAAAACCAGGAGACATATTGCATGACTCTTCTCTGTCTGACCTAGATAAGCCTGAACTGCATGCTGAACTCTCAGACAATGAGCCATCTACACCGTCTGCTTCACGAGGCTTTGGCAAAAGCACTGATAGTATAGGGAGATCACAGTATTCAGCCGATGCTAAATCCGAGCAATTTTTCATGGCTTCTCCATCAGCAGCATCACTGCAAGAGGGCGAAGAATTCCTTGAGAACCCAAATAGCTGGACGGCTGAAAGATACGGCACAAAATATGCCCGAAACCCACACCGCTTGCTCCCCAATCTCTTGATGTTCAGTAAATCATCTGCCTTCACTTCCAATCCATAACTTCCAGGCCTTTCATACCATTGCCAAATGCTCCTCAAAGAATAATTAGAAACCTGATGCCTACACATAGAATTGCCAAAAAGACAGTGACCCAAGCATTTCGACCAATGGGGTGAACTGGATGTTGAGCTCAGTTCTGGAGAAACAGAATGAAGAATTCTTTCAAACTCAGCAGGGGGATTTCCAGTTGTGAGCCGAACATCTTCAGATGCAATTTGCAGTCGGTAAGAATCAAACACAGCTTGTGCAAGATTCCTTGAATCGATGTCAGATTGGGATACAGGTCGATTCTTGGCTCTACTAGATAAATGATCACTAGATGCAACGGATACACCTCTGTTCTCTTCTTCAGGTGGGGTCTTTGATCGAGCACTCAACCCCTCAGAAGAACCAATATCAACCCTTACCTCAGTTGCCAAAAAATGGCTCTGAGATGAAGATCGGAAATCCCCAAAATCAGATCTCAAGCATGCCATACCTGAATTAGTCGAAGAAGAGAAATGAGAGTGCTCAGGAAGAAATGCTTCCTCTTTCTGAGTATTATTCACTTCTCCATTTCTAGACAGTGATTTATCGAAATCATTGTTCAATACATTACCGTTTGACTCAGTTATTGTGTTTGTTTTGAAGGCTCCAGCATCTTTCCTCCCAACAGGAATCCACTTCTTTGAGGTATAACTGGAACTAATGTCTTGCTTTGCATGCTCCACAGAAGAAGTTTCTGTTTCTGAGTGCAAAGTTTCCTTTTCTTGATGAGTGAGAGAAGGGTGGTCAGTTCCTGGGGAATCTCCATGTGATATTCTCCACTTGTCTCCGGGGCCTTCAATGGCAGACACTTGATAAGAGAGATTCAAAGTGCTAGATGATGAATTCACCAACTTTGAAGCAGCTTGAATCTTCATATTAGCATCACCAGCACCCACATTTCCCACTGGAATAATTTCATCATTGTTGGCCTGTGAACCAAGGATGGAGTCAGAGTTGACACGATCCATTTTGTCAGAGACTGCAGCCTCCACTCTCTCACTTTGAGCATAACAAGTAGATTTTGAACCCCCACCAAAGCTTCTGTAATAGTTCGCATGCCATGCGATTTCTGGCGATTCCCTTTGAAAACCATTTGTCCTCGAAAGCCTAATCAGCTTAGACTTACTACCACCATTTCCTATCCTGGAATGGTTTGTATGCTCTTGTTTGGACCCCAAATTCGTTTTTCCTTTGGACCTCTCAGACATTGTGCTCTCAATAACTTCATCTTCTCCAGTTGAGAGCGGCAAAGTTCTATCAACAGCACTTGGAACTCCTTGCGGAGCATCCAAATGGCTTGAAATAGAGGCTGTTCGGGGTTTTACTTCTTGCTCATTCCTCCTCTGTCCCTTCTTGCCATATTGGCTCATAAATACATCATCTCTAACAGGCACTGAGGCAGCATCTGGTTGAGGCCAAAGACGATTAGGGTTCTTGGCCTCAAGAACGCATTCATTTCCACTCTTTTGAACCTTTTGCCAGACAGAATGGTTATTGTCCCTGCCCATGCGCCCATGGATGGTTACACCGTGATGGTATCTTGGTATCGACCCTAATGAGCTCCCATTTGATTTTCTACCCTGCCTAGCTTTCCCGCTCAGTCCAAATGCATGTGTCTTACTACTGCTACAACCCTGATTACTGTACTTAAGCCTCTCCACATCCCTAGCAGCAACTGAAGCAACACCATTGATGCAGAGATTGTTGGGTCTCTCACAATTCCAGTCACATGTACCTACCCCAACCGAATATCCCATATCAATAGGTCTACCACTAGAGTTACTATTATCTGATCCAGTACTACTGTTCATTGGGCTTGGCCCCTTCTCCTCAAAACCCACAGCCTCACAATAACTACCATCACTATTCCAACCATCAGAAAACATTTTCTCGGACATAGGAACAGGGTATTCCATACATTTAGCCTTGGAAGCAGAGTTGTCGGCAAATTCCCAACCAGAAGGATATGGTACCCTTACATCATCAGTTCTCTGAACTGTTAGTGAGGGATCAACTCCTTGTTTGCTGAAAGAGCCAGCAACACTAAGGGCTTGAGATGGGGAAGGTAAGTTAGAAACTAGGTTATTACCATTGCTATCACAACTGTATAAACAGGTTAATACGTTATTATCGTCATCAAACCGATGCAAATTGTTGACAGGATTAGGCCCAGTCTCACAATATGGACCTCTCTCATCAAAGTTTTCAGAGAAAGAACAACCTTGGGTGCATTCCTCATGCACTGCTGCCAATTCAACACTTTCTGTGGATCTTTTGTTGTGCTTTCCCTTCTTCTTTGGCTTCTTTTTCGAGTTCCTTTTTGCACGCTTTTCCCCCTTACAAGTATCAATGACCAGACCACTCGAACTGGCCGCACTAGATCCATCAGATTGGAAGGATCCAGAAGAATCATTCAAGGCATCACTCTGAATGCAAGAATTGGTGGAAACCTTAGATTCCTTAGTTTGAACATTCAATGAAGCTTTAATTCGTGATTGCCCGGGAGTCCTCGATCTAGAAAATCGACCAGATGTATAAGGTTTTGAACACCATGATCGCTGGAAATGACTTTTCTGGGTATGTGGAAGGTTGAACAACAAGACAGAAGGGGGAGAAACTAGTTCCAAGCCATCCATATTTGGCGTTCCAAATGCCAAATGATTCCTCAAATCAGAGCTTTGAAGAGGCCAATGAAAAGGAGCAAGGTTTTTTGGTCGAGCATCCAGATTAACTGTGATCAGTGTGAAAAGAATGCACCTGAAAACACATCAAAAAAGGGAAAATTATGTAAATATAAATTCTTTAAATAAAGACAATTTGAAGCAGTAGCAACACTCCAAAAAGCTTTCTAAAAAAGATTTGTCCTGTTAACAAAACTGTAATGGGAAAAGCTTTATAAAATTATCATTGATGTCCCTTTTCTCACAAAGGGCATACTATAGTCCAACAGCCTATAGACATAATTGTCCTCCACTGGGTTCATAAATGCCCCAGGAAATGATGACAAGATGATGGATAGAGCGAGAACTCCTGCTAGGGTCAGACCAGCTCTTGTGCTCTTGTGGTCCCATTCTCTCGTAAACATATCCAGCAATTGATTGGAAGGTGATGACCTGATAGATCATCAATTCCACAGAACATCGACATGTAAAGTTTTTTTTTTTTCATTTGTAAAAGTATAAAAGAAAATATATACCATAGATGCCACACATGTTGATAAAGAAAAAGATCACAAACGTCAAAGCTCAATAAGCTACATGCTCGCGGCTAGAAAGCTTCCCGTTAGCAATATGAATGGCACATACAGCTGCAACAAATGATTTTTGTTATACCATTCCCTTTACAGATAAGGTAATATACAAATCAAGCCAGGCAACAGAACCAAGATGGAAGGCCCCACAGTACACTGGATTGCAATGTAATTTTCATTTGTCAAAGCCACACTCGTTGAGAAAGTAAAAGACGACTAGTGCCAAAGCTCAATAATCAATGTGCTCACTGCCTCAAAGCTTCCCATGAGCAATGGGAATGGCACATACAATTGCAACACATAATTTTCATCATAATCTTTCCTTTCCAAAAATAGGGAATGCGCAACATAAGGAAGGCAATGGAACCCAAATGGAAGCTCCCAACTTGCAGTTAAATATTTACAGAAACAGATCTCCTATGTCCATTTCAAGCTTAGAGGAAAAGTATAACAATTGAAAAAACATGAAGGAATTTTGAAATTTTTCGTAATTGGCATTCTCCCAGAACACAGATTGCAGCTTGAAATAGCACGATATAAAGCAACCATGGGTGTAGTTCCCAATAGATGTTGCCTGAAACTATGCTGCTCTGCTGCATTTAAAAAGTATAATTACATTCTCATGGCACATACAAATTACAAACTAGATACTTGCATCCTTACAGTGAAAAATGCTATGACATATCCAAGGCTATGGCCATTCAAGAACATTCTAAATAAAGCATCATGAAAACAAGTATATAGCTTCAAATAAAATCCTGTTAAAGAGCCCCCATTCAGATTGGAGTCTACCTTTGAACAACAGCACGCAATCTAAACTAGTTATCTCTTATCTCACCTTTGGTCAGAATTCTTTAATATTACAGCAGCAAGCTCAGGTTCCTGGAGAAAGAAATATATAATTGCAATCAAGATAAGAGCATTATATAGAAAGTATATGAACACCGCAAGTATAAATTTCAACAATGCATTTCAACATCAGAAGCAAATCATTTCAACAAACATGTAAAAATAATGGACCTTAGCACTAGGTCTGTAACTATCGTGTTCTAAAGGTTTCTTTGATGAAGTGGTGAATCCACCATCTGCAACCTTCTCAATATTGCAATCAGTCCTCCCAAGGGCACACTGCATCTTTTGTGCGGCCTGTACAGGTTGACACTACTGAAATCAATAATGCTGACAAACTAAGAAGCTTCAAAGGAAATATCATCACAAGGGCATGAAATGAACTCAACAGTAAAAGTTCCTAAAGCACTTTTGATTGATTCTAGTCAAATAGGATTAGAGAAAATGTTTTTTCTCTTCTATACGCAAATAGGAAATGCCTTAACAATTGGCATTCATACTTCACCCATGAATATTGGACAAGACCAAGATCCTTCCCTCTATACAAACATATAGCTTCATATTAATATTACGCTACAGAACTAAAAAGAGAAAATGCTCTTCCACATAAACAGAATAGTTCACATGACTTCACCGGGATTAGTGGAATAGGTGAATAAAGAGATCTGACAACAAAACCGAACTCTTTCTATTCTTCCTCCCCTTTGTTTCTTCTTTTTTACTTTAAGCATTGTGTGTCTCTCTTATTGGATGATGGGCGTGTATTTCAGATGACAAAAAGAATCATTAACTAAGAAGAAAAATTAAATCAAATGGTCACCCCAGGAGAACAGAAAGATGAAGGATGGGCTGGGGCAGCGCACAAAAGGAACTGGATATTTTTTAGGCAGTCTGACAAGAAAATATCATCTCCGGGAGGAGACACTAGTCCATCTCAGTAGCCTCAGAATGATCTCATCGAGCTTCGCCACTGTCAACTGGAAATTTGCAAGGGTCTGGGGATCCTTAGAAAAAGTTTAATATAGCACTGGCACTCTAGAAGTGCATGAACATATGATTAAAAAGTTGTGTTATCATGATCGATGGTGAGGATGGAGCAATAGGAGCAACCGCTCATAACCAATTGCAGAGCTCTTGGCCATCAGGTTTAGAGAAATAAAGACTTGCCTAAATGGAACTCTGAGCTTTAGAGGAGGCTAAGATATAATATTCCTCATGAGAAAAACGAGTTGGATGCAGGTGGGAACAATGTTTTCAAATGCAGGATGCGGCCAAGATATAATATTCCTCATGAGAAAAAGGAGTTGGATGCAGGTGGGAACAATGTTTCAAATGCAGGATGCAGCATGATGCGTTGGGGGGTGCCAATGCGGTGCTGCAGCTCAATACGGTCTAGATGCACGGATACATCATCCGATGCGCTCAATAAATATAAAAAAACCTAAAAAATCTAAAAAAATAGGTTAATGCATAAAAAAAATTTGGGGTGATTTATGTGATAGTAGGTATTTAATTTATTCAAATTTATTCATTAACTCCAAAAGTATCAGTAGTCGAAGATTCTGTATCCACTATCCCTTGATAGATTTGCCGACAAATAGCCCCCATATAAGTATTTCTACAAAGACTACAAATAACACAGAAACACTCAACTAGCATCCTGGGTAGTGTGCATGTTTGTTGTCCGAAGTATCAGTAGTCGAAGATTCTGTATCCACTATCCCTTGATAGATTTGCCGACAAATAGCCCCCATATAAGTATTTCAACAAAGAGTACAAATAACACAGAAACACTCAACTAGCATCCTGGGTAGTGTGCATGTTTGTTGTCCATTATGATGTGGGATTTGAACCCACCATTATCATTACCTTTTGAGAATGGGCTGGGGCCTTAGCGGTAGTACTTTCAAGCCCTATGATCAAGCCTCGGACTCCATTCTCACCAAAGGGTTGGGGACCAAATCCCCACTGACTAACCCTTTTTTTTAAGAAAGGGGCTAGGGTCGTGGTAGTAGCATCTCCACACCTAGTCACCACATTGTAGCTTCCACTCCGACCACTAACACCACCCCACTAACACCTTCAAATATCCAATTACTAATCTACTTTAAAAAAAAAAGTAGGGGCATGTCTTCCCCACTGAATTACTCAAAAAAAAAAAAAATACAAATAACACATTTTCGGTCTTTGAGAGTTTTTAGTTTTGCATATTTGCAATCCGGATCCTTGTTACTAAAAGATTGTGAAGAAGACATTGCCCCAAAAAAACAGTTTTAGTGTACTAGGAAATAAAAACTTACTGATTACTTGAAGAAAATATCAATTTCTAATCGGCCATTGAAACCCTCGATTTGTTGTCAAAATTTTGCTAAAACTTCCTCAAATTAACACCCAAAATAAACAAATCGACAACCAAAGATCATCCAAGGCGAAAATCCAAGAATTTCAAAAACTAAAATTTCATCCACTTTTTGTTTTTGAATGATTTGATCTCCTAAAGGCCACAGATGTGACTGATTTTGGTGGTTTGGGGGGTTTAATACCCCCCAAAACCCTTTCTCCCCCTTTTTAGGGCTTAAAAATACCAAAATACCCCTTTTTGTGGCGGTGTTTTTCATTTCACACATGGGCTGCATATGCGTCCTATGCGGCATATGAGGGCACATCCCACCAAAGCGCATATTCGATTTTAGGAGATGCAGTTGCCAGCACATCACGCATGATGCGACCGCATTTTAAAACACTGGGTAGGAATATGTAAATGTTATTAACAACTAGAAAGGGGCACATAGGAATTGATGATTCTGGTCTGGAGAACATGACTGTGGAGGTGTAGAAATGTTAAAGGACCTGAACCCTGTGGGACTCGAAGAATTGCAAATTGGAGGAAGTACGAAGTCCACCAACTTGTCTCTTAATAGACATCCGATATTTTCAATGTGAAGTCCACCAACTTGCTGATATGCACAAGAACCTTATTCATCTACAATCACAGACATGGTGGACATCATCCACAAAAAATATTGAGGGATGAGGTTATGTACGACCAATGTCCAAAATTTTGGCAACCTGGCCGCCTAGGCTATCTAGGCATGCCACCAAATCGAAGGACCCTAGCCAAGTGCCCTAGTTGGCCATGTGCTCAAGCACCCAGCTAGTGCCACCTCCTTTAAAAAAGTAAAAGTACAAGAAGTAAGTCCCTTAGGAGAAAAAAAAATATTAAGACCTAATAAAAAGGCATGTAAGCCTCTTTAAAAGAAAGTCGTCATCATCATCGGAGCCTCTTTTTCCAACTATTTGGGGTCGGTTATACGAATCCCAGTCTGCCATTTTGCTCTATCAAGGGTTATACCCACAATGGAGCCATGAGTCTTCATATCTTTTCTCACTAACTCCAACCATGTCCTTTTGGGCCTACATCTTGCCTTTTTGAACCTTTCACTTGAACTAACCCGTACCTCCTAAAAGGTGTACTAGATCTGCGAAACACATGGCCAGCCCACCTAAGTTTACTTTCTCTCATCTTATCACCTATTGGAGCCACACCTAAGCTCTCCCAAGTGTATTCATTTCGAATTTTATCCCTTCTTGTCTTGCCACTCATCCATCTAAACATCCTCATCTCAACTAAACTCATCCTATTGGAATATTGTTTCTTGACCGCCCAACATTCCACCTCATAAAGCAAAGGCCCCCTTTAAAAGAAAGTTAAAAAAAAGGGTCCAAAAGAAGGCCTAGAAATAGGTAAAGAAAGTAAGTTGAAGAACATAAGAATATGCCTGAAGAAGAAAAAGAAGGCCCCAACACAAAGAAGAAGAAGAATAAGCGGTAAGAGGGTTCCAGAGAGAAAAAGGGTCTCAAATAAAAAAACCCTAAGTGCCATTAACTTTGGAGAGACCACCTCTCTCTCTCTCCTCTTTTTTCCCTGAAAAAGAAGAAAAGGCAGGGTTAAGGAGAGAGAAACAGTTTAGAGAATAAAAACCCTAGCTGCCATTAACGTTGAGGAAACCCCCCCCCCCCCCCCGCCCAACCGCCCACCAACAAAAAAACACCATTGTTGTCTCCCATTTGCACAAACAAGAGCAGGGTGTTGCAAAAACAAGGATCAAGAAAGAGAAACAGTAAGAAAAACAATAACTGCCATTTACATTGCACCCTCTCCTCTCTTTCTGCTCTCTCTCCTCTTTTTTTCTCCCTTGATTTGCACCTTGAGAATGAAGATATAATAAGCAACTCTAAAATATTCCAAATTATGCCCACCCCCCACCCCCCCACACCCCTTTAGGCCGCTTAGTTTCTAGGAGTGCACCTGGGCAGCCGCCCAACCGTACTGGCATCTGACCTTTTGAACATTGTGCAGGACAAATGGAAAAGAAAGGCTGACTTGTTACTTTATAATGGAAAAATACGAATAAATATTACAAACTTAGAAACTCTAAAGATCAGCTGAATGTCAAAAGTACTAAATAAAGAGCACAAAGCCCAAGGATTCTCATCTTTAGCCCTAGACTGATAAGGGGGCATATTTCGCCTAAATGCATACTAAGGAAGATTCTAAAGAAAAAATGTGACTCCCCAATCAAACACTAGGGAGAGCACACAATTTAATTCGAATATCAAAATTGGACACAAAATGGAAGTTCCCCGTGAGAGCTCTATGCCCACATACTAAGCTTGTGGCGGACTTTACTTCAACCCTGAAACCACATCCAATTGCATGATTTTTGGTGGAAAGCTTGAAATATCTTCAATGAGCATTTCCAGAAATTTGAGCCCGTTTCATTTTGTCAAATATGGACAATTCACCACGTGGTTACTATTTATAGGTAGTAAGTACTACAGCTTGTGCTGAACTTCACAAACCGCTTGATCTCAATTACAATCTTCCTGATTTTTGGAACATGACCATGTTTGTCCTTTCGAAGGAGCAATGAACAAAAATTCGGCCATCTTCCTGCCTAAGCGGCCATTTTCTCAAACCGCCTAGGCGTGGACTAGGCGGAATGCTCCAGACGGGTTGCATCTAGGTGTCCACCTAGGCGACATAAAAGCGGGCGCCTAGGCACCACCTCAACCAATCGAGACCGAGGGGGAAAAATGCCCCTCGGCCATTGGGTAAATTTGTCATTTCCCCCCTAAAAAGGGGAGGAAAAGGTTTTGGGGGCCATTCTTGCCCCCAAAAAACATTTTTAGTGATGTTTAGAGTGACAAAAACCTTTAAAAAAACAAGATTTCAAGAATTGCAGAGAGATCGAAATTTTTTTCAACCTCCTCAAATGCTCACGAAATTAAAGGATATTCATCCCCGATCTTTTTCTAGCTTATAGTGGCTGTAAAAGAGGAGATTTGGGAACCAAAACTTTCCCGTTTAGGCCGATCTCAGTTTCATTTCAAGAAGGTTGGTATGTTTTAATATTTTTTATTAGGTTACGTTTTTTTTTTTCACAATGTCTTATGACGTCATTCTTTGCGTTTTGTACTTTCTTTTTGATAGTTTATGATATATATATGTGTGTGTGTGTGTGTGTGCGATATGTTTTCAACTATTTGGATTATTATTCAGCCAAAAAATAAGCTATTTGGATGATTTTCCCATTTTGATATTTAGTTTGCATCTTTGGGAAAGCAATTCAATGGAAAAATTCCATTGCCCCCAAACGAATGAATATTTGTTTTTTTAATTTTATGCAAGAGTTTACTTGTATAATTCATAAACCATAACTTTTGTCCCCATAATTTTTTTTTTGAGTTAGTTTAACAATTGATTATTAAATAATTACATGAGTAATATGTTTTTTCGATTTTATGTGTGATATCATTGGAGTTTGATGTGTAGGTTTTAACTAGATTTTTTTATTTTTTATTTTTTTTACCTTGATCATCCTTGCTTTACTTTTGTCTTTGGATTGTTAAGAACTCAAGATATTAATATTCTTTATACTGCATTTCCTATTTGTAATTTATGACCATTTTTTACTATTTTTGGATGACTAATTTGAAATTTCAAATATTTAGACTAGTAGTTGTAAATTAATCTTTGCTTTTCTATATGTATTTACAATTTTCACTTCTTGTAAATGTTTTCAAGTTTGACTTTGTTGTTTTTGTGTAATCTTCACTTTGTCCTTTGATTGTCGGATGTGACTTTTTTTTTACAACTTATGAGTATCTATTGTGAATTGTGACTTGCAAGATTTAATGGACATCTCAAGTTGCTTTTATCTTTTAATGTTGCTTTTGAGTTTTAACCAATTCTAAAGTCCTGTATGTTTACATTTGACCTGCACTTCTGACTTCTAAACCTTAGTTACCAAGATCTCTGGTAGGAGATCCCTTCTCGAATCTCGATTTTGTCGCTCCCGGAACAGATCTCTAAAGGATCTCGAATTTTAAATTTTGGGATCTCGTACCCCATAGAAAAGGATACCGATTCTTGCCGTTAGGGATCTCCAACCCAACCTTAAACACTAAGACAACAACCAAACTGATGATTTTCTTTGTTTATAGCCAACTAGCAACACAAATATTGTTTGCTTGCAATAATTTATGAGATCCCTACTTTAAAGAGTATACATAATCATTGATTATCATACACTTTAAGGTTGATAACAAGAGCCCCAAAAAGTTGGCCCTCCCCCCCAATACAGGCTGCCTTTGTGTCTGGGCGGCCGCCTTTGCACCTAGGTGGCCCAACCCCCAGGATGCTTAGGCAGCCACATCAGCCTTCTTGACCATTGAGAAGGAGCTCTCAAAGTTCTGACTCATTTGAAAGTCATTATCATGGCTTTCTGTGTTCACGACCATATGGTCATTTCATTTGACCATGGTGTATTGGGGCCGTCACCGAGCACACCCAAACAGGGGAAAAACCAGGTCCCGCCGCACACAATATGCATGTAGTCAAATGTACATGCATAAATTTTTAATATAATCATTTTTTTTCTTTTTTACGAAAACGCATAAAACTGATTTGCATGGTATTTCAAAGAACCAGATTTACTGCACAAACTTTACATACATAAAAATTTAACATTATGTTACTTAATTTTGTATTTAAGTATACTTAGAAATATACAAAAACTGATCTAGGCGAGACAGACAGACTGGCTAGCCAATTGAATTTTACTTGACTATTGTTTGTGTTAAGTTGCAATGTAGTTTAACAAGATTTTTTTCTCTTTAACTTTTAATTGAACATGTACCACAAAAGCTCAAATAAAAAATCTGAATATGGAAAGAAGAAAGACATTTCAGCAAGTGCCATGAGAGTAATGGCATCAAGTGACGATTCTTGGTAATCAGCAAACTGGGCCTCTTGTGTGGTTTATCAATAAGTGGGGATACAGTTTAATTCTTTGGTGGGTTTAGACAACTATCAAACACAATAACGTTTAACAAGCATGTGACTTAAGGCTCCTTTCTTCGGGCAACAAAGAGGCATATCTCAGCTTAACTCGGAAAGTAATAATATCTCTAAATAATGTCAAAGAATTTGAGTTTCAATCCAGAACAAATTGAGTTGTTTCCACGCAAAATATACAAGGTGCCATTTTGGACAGAATTGGTTGAAAGGTTGTGGATAAAATGAAGTAAAACAAGAATGAAAGATACACAAACAGTGAAGAGTGATCTTTTTTGGGGGAATGAATTCCATGGATAGAGAGAAAAATATTGATGGTTGGAGACAAATTTGTCTGCCAAAACAAAGGAGAATTGACCTCTGTTGGGATATGATATAGTTGAGATTTCAGCATTCAGAAATTGACTAACACAAGGGATTCAAAAATCACCATTATTTGTAGAGAAATGATAGACAGTCAAGAATATTATTACAGTTTGATCTTAGAGGCATGCAACTAATTGAGAGAAAATCCCTGCTTTTCCACTCAAATATAAGAGATAAGCTGACCCAATAATTCGGTTAGATATAGTCAGAGATTATGGTGAACTAGACCTAATGAGGAAGGCATGACTCTCAAAGCCATGAGAAATGAATTCCATAGCTAGAGAGAACTTTTCCTGCCTAGCAAAAACTAAGAGAATATCAGCTGTATCTAAGATCTACTACAGTCAGGGGAAAGACTTATTATTCAGACCAGAATATCACTATTTTGTCAATATCCATATCACCGCCATTTTGTCAATATCCATATCACCGCTTTATGTTTTTTAAGTGTTATATCCATAGTACCTTTGAGTATGGGCCATTGCCGAACCAGAAACATAGAAGCAAGCATGCCTACTTTTTAAAGAGGCTATTGCACACTATGTGTTTTCATGATGTAGAAGCAAACTCAATAGTTATCTGTAGCGCAATTTGGGCGTCACCCATGAATAATTTTATTTTTCAAAATTAAACTAGGAAATCAAAGTTCCATGCTAGATTGAGTATCAAACAACACAACAGCCAATGATCAAACAGAATTCGGCAGTAAGAAACTGTTCAGTTGATTTGACTGCGCTTAGAAATTAGAAACATGGAAAACTTAAAAAGAGTTTCACCTTTGGAGCCAAATATTTTCCAGAAGGATAAAAGGAAAACCTAATGATGAAAACTAGCAGCCGTAACAGTCTTTAACCCCTTCCAGGGGTGGTTCACAGTTAAAAAATTCAAGCATATTTCAAGTGGTCCACCATTGAAGGGGCAGTTCACAGTTGAAATTCAAGCATATTTCAAGTGGTCCAGCATTCAGCCCTCCCTCCCTCCCTCTTATAGATATTTTTTTCTCCTGATTTCGGTAACATGTATAGGCAGTTGAAGTCTACGAGTTTTAAGTTGCAATTAAGTTTTCAGTTTCCATTTGCTTATAACAATAAGAAGCGTATTATTTCATTCAGGTGATTTTCAACCGTAGGACCATATCCAAAATAATAAAAAGTAAACAAAAGACAAGGACGTGGGTTCAACATCAAGCATTTACACTTTGCAAAATTCTCTAGAAAATTCTCATACCTCAAGTAGTTTATTCACCTGTCCTCAACAATGAAGACCAAGGTTCAAGTTTCAATCCCGCTATGGAAAAATAAAAAGATAAGTAATAAAAGAGGGGAAAAAAGAAGTCCCAAAAAACAAATATTAAACAGAAAAGAAAAAATAAGGATCAATTGATTACGAAAAGAAAAAACAAATACAGATTAAATGATAAAAAGAATTTTGGAAAAGACGACATTTCTGGTAGAGATGTAGAATAGCAAAAATACAGTATTTGAATTACTTTAAACCATAATCCTAAATGGAAAATAATCTAATGCATGTCCTATATGATCCAAGTAAGGAATGAGCATACAAAAATTAAAACATAATATAATTCACCAAAACTTAAAACATAATATAATTCACCAACTTTCCCCTTTCTAACAGGTAAATAAGTTTGTCTTAAAAAATTAAAAGATATACAGGAAGTATCAGTACGCTATGGATTTTCTGAAGCCAAAACAATTCACAAACAAGTACTGCAAGTTTTTTACGGACCAGATAGTTGTGATCACTGATAGGAACAATATATTGGAGTCCTTGTGGCACTAGAAGCCTTTTTGTCCATGGATAGACTGTCATGTGTTGTTACATTGCATCCTCAAAATAATATTCATGATAACCATGAAAAGGCTATAGCACGACAGCTGATAAATATGCACTCACAGTGAAATTACAAACAAAACTCATTTCATTTCCTAACTTAAAACTTGACAATCCCCAAATAAGACAGTATTACAATATAGTTCACAAAATAAAACATGCATCAAACATATTTGAACCATAATGTTTCACAAACGTGTACCTCAAGACACATGAGGTGCATCCTGGGGGTCGTGTCGGGCATCAGAGTCCAACCAAAGTCAACATCCAGAGAGTAATCTGAACTCCTTGATATGAACAAACTTGCTCACAAAAACTATGAGTAAAATAAATCCAGAGTTTGGCAACGTCAAAACAAAATTATCTTCGGTGGCAATCTAATCACTGATGAAAAGCATATAGTTCACACTTCGATTAAACATAACTCCATGGATCATAACCAGGATTTCACTCTCTCTTTCTAATGGATTATATTCTTTTATTTCTTGAACATAAAAAGGACAAGAAACAGTCTCTTGAGACATAACACAAAGAATTACGCGAATCCTTCTAAAGAATAAAACTAGGGGGTCTTAGTTTTCCGCAACCACTTTCTCAGTACACATAAATATAAAACAAACCCATGATTCTTGAAAAAGCAGGAAGGAAAAAACCAATACCTATTTACCTTCTCTTTAAACAACTTCTTTTTGGCCTGCATAGACCATTTGGGCACGGGATAAAAAAACAAGTGATGAGAACAACCAAAATTCTCCCTGGATGAGATAAAGCTAAGACATCAAGTGGAAGAAATGTAATCTTTCCACCTATCTTTGTGGCTACTTCCACAAACTGCAAACGATAAAAAACAAATTGTGCTAGCCTTTTTCACAAGGTATTTCTACTCACTAGATGAAATAAAGATGCTATATCAAAAGTCCAAATTCTCGGAACACAGAAACCCCAACATCAAACCAAACATTACCCATTTCCCTTCAAAAGACTTATAATGATAATCCTTCACAATCAAACCTCAAACACCCAACAGAAAACCACTATCACCGTAAATGATCATTAAATCCTCAAACGATACCCACACACAAGAAGTCTAACATCACACTAAATAAAACCCAAGTTTCCTGCAATTGATCAGCCCAAAACCCTAGGACATTCCTGAACCCCTCTTCCCGTCAAGAAACCCCATAAACCCTGGCAAAGAACAATAGAACCACCAAAATAACAACCAAAACCATCCACAATCATGCAAGAACCAGTACCAGAACAATTGCAGAGAAGTGCCAAGGCAATTCCGAGAAGAAAACCTAATTTTACACAAACAGTTCGAAACCTAGGGTTGTCAAGACAAGCGGTCCAAATGCAAGAAAAAGTTCCGCAAAAATTGACTAGAAAAGAAGATAAAAAAGAAAGTTTCTGCTAAATTTAGCAAGAGTGGATAGATAGACGAGAGGCCTACAAACCTGAACGATAATAGGGTGTGGCCCTGCTAAATCCTTGGCGCTGAGTCCAATTTAGAGAGAGAAGTAAGAAATGCAGAGAAACGGGTGGTTTCTGCTTTATTTATACTAAGCGATGACTCACCCAAGAAACCAGACTCTTAGACCAGGAAAAAAAAAACGGAAATCCGAAAGCGCTCTTTCTCTCTCTCTCCCGCTAACTTTCTCCATCTAAAGGACCTCTCCTCCAATTATTTTTCTCTCTCCTCTGTCGCTCTCTCTCTAAAGGGCTTTTCCCTCTCACTCTTTTTCTATCTCTAGGGGGCCCTCTCTCTCTCCATCGGGAGCGACTTATAAAAGGGGAAAAGTTTCCATGGAGCCGGGCCTCTAAACAATCAAATTAGAGCCTACCTCAAAAATTTCACTAGAAGAGGTTGTTTTGATCTTCAAATATCTTCACATTGATCATCTCCACATCAACCTGCATTGACATGAGAAAAAAACAGATTTCAAGTTTTGTAAATAGTGCATTTTGTACCATATTTTTGGACAGTCAATTTTTAAAATTTTCAAGTTTTCATAGACTTGTCGATATGTAACATTTTTTAAGCTTTAAACTTTTTTAATAAAAATAAAAAATACATTTTAAGACTATCACAAAGATTTTTAGTATTGAAACTATTTTTTTATACTATTTGAAAGTAAGCTCTAATTTGATTGTTTAGAGCCTAGGCAACCCTTGTAAGATGCACCAAATTAATCGGAAAATATCTGATATTTTGGGTGTCTATAGCGTACTCCTGTCGTACCACGATATACTTAGAAAAGGAAAATGTTTATATAACGGTGAGCAAAACAATTAAATTGCCGAACAGCCAAATTAACGCTCGCCTCAAAAATTCACCGCAATAGGTTATTTCCATGAAAAACCCTTAATTAGATTATTTGGGATTCAAGATCTGTGGATGTGAGACAAAAATATACTCAAGTAAAATAGTGCGCTTTATAATATATCATCTAGACCGTCAATTTTATTATATTTTAAGTATTCATAGATTGCTTGGTTTACACTGTTTTTAACCATTAGATTTTATAACTTAAAAATAAAATAAATTTTCAACCCATCACAAAAAAAGTCTGATACAATGGAAAGTACACCTTACACCCTTTGGAAAATATCGCAATTTTTGGGCTTGTATAGCGTACTCCCGTGGTACCACGATATATCCTTGCTACCTCGGTAATACAACCATGGACTTGGTTGACATGAAAATTTATTTTTTGGGAAAATTACATATATATAGTTATAATTTGCATTATTACAAAACTACTGGATAGTTTTCGTTATTACCTATCTGGCCGTTTTTTTCATGTCATGACGAAAAAAATAAAAAAAGGCAATTTTACCCTTTTTAAAAAAAAATTAAAAAGGTAATTTTACCGTTTTTTTGTTGTTGAACAACCGAATTCAGTGTTATTCAACTAACAAAATCAAGTCAATTTTAGTTTTTGAAAAACCAAAAATTCAAAATTTTTGTTGCACTCCCATCGGTTGTTGAACAACTGAATTCAATGAATTTTCGGTTGTTAACAACTGAAATCCTCTATACCTTTATTCACCTACATTTTACCCATCTTTTCCATTTAAACTCTATAGTTAAAAGTTTAAACCCACCCATATAAGGTATAAAGTGAGAATGGATAAACATATCCTCTATATTTATCCATTCTATCTCCTATGTTTATTCATTCTCTCTTTATACATTGGGTTTAAACGATTATCTATCCTTTTTAAACGTTTATATATCTTCTCTTATATATGGGTTTAAACGTTTATCCATTCTCTCTTTTATGGTTATCCATTCTCTCTCTATACTTTAAGGTTTAAACTCTTCCCTATGTTCATCTATTCTCTCTACAATGACTAGTCTATGTGGATAAACATCGGGAAGAGTTTAACCTGAAAAGACAGATAAAGCGTGGTTAAAGAAGGGTATGGAGGATTTCGATTGTTGAACAACTGAAAATCCATTGAATTCGATTGTTCAACAATCGAAGAAAGGGAGCACCTACCAAAAAAAAATCGGTTTTTGAAGAATCGAAAATTTAAAATTTTTGGTTCTTCAACAACCAAAATTTTAAAATTTATGGTTCTTCAAAAACTGAAATTGGCCTAAAAATCTATTGAATTCGGTTGTTAAACAACCGAAAAAAGGTAAATTTGTTTTTTAAACAAAAAATTATTATGACATAAAAAAAACGGACAGATAGGTAATAACGGAAACTATTCAGTAGTTTTGTAATAACGCAAACTATATCGGATATGTACATAATTTTCTCTTATTTTTTTAACTTGTTCTTCTTGGAGTTAGATGAGTATTTAAAAAAAAAAAAAATGAATTTAAGATGAGTATTTTCAGATGAATCTTGGGGGTTTAATTTTTTTAGAAATAAAAAATAAATTAAGGATTTTTCAAATAACAATGCTCTAAGCCAAACCCGAAGACTGAACAACTTATAGCCCAATCCCAAGCCCAAGCCCAATTCCAATCATATCATTGAGACTCAAGCCCCTACCCATTCTAACCCACAATCTGCGCTCAGGCCCACATAACCATGTGGGATTCTGTATGAGAGAGCAAGTATATAGTTTACTCTTGTGGGAGCACTTTTTTCCTTGTGGATAAAACCCAGTTGCATATTTATTGTAATCACCCCTGGGCAAGGTAAAAGTGGAACAATAGTGGTGCCACAATACACGCGATAAGAGTTGTTTAAATGGTTTTAAACTATTAACTTTTTAATTATTCAACACATGCACTAAGAGCAGGTATAAATGGCGCCATCATTTAAACAAATCCATTTTAATTGTGACCACCTTTGTACTAAAGATGGATGATCTCATTGTATACTTTTTCCAAACAAACAGTAACAAAGCAGTGAATAAACATTAGCTTCGCTCTTTAATTAGAGTTGTTAACAGGATTGGGCTGACCCGCAAGCTTTCGGGTAGTGTCTATTTCGGTCGGGTTAGGGCTATAAGGTCCATGAGTGGAGCCTGTTAAAACAAAAATATTTTCGGGGTCGGGCCAGGGCTAGCGTTGGTCTAACCCAGGCACGGCCCATAAATTGCTATAGGATATATTACGCACATTATGTTATTTTCATATATAGATTTCATAGCCCACCCCGACTCAAAATTTTCAATCCAAGATCAGGCCTTGCTATCATGATTTCTGGCCACTCCATGGAACTAAATTTTCAGGCTTGCATTAACATGTCCCATTAATAGCCTTGACTCACAAGCCCAATTGTCTTATCTTTTTGTAGTTTAATGGTAAAAGTGGAATTTTAGACATCATGTTGTGACACCTTACAATCCCATTTATTCTCAAGCACAAATGCCCCCACTATAATGACTTTAAATTCATCTATTTCTTGTCAATTCATTTGAACTGTGTCATTTGAATAAAGTCGACCAACTTTTCTCCCTCGTACATTATAAGGCTTGTTAATTCAATTAATTGGAAAAATACTATAATGATGATGGCTGTATTGAATATAAATAAGCCCTAATTGCATTGAAGAGTAAGGTTCTCTAACTTCAATGTAAATATGATGCATTGCAGAAAATTTTTATTTAAACGAGCAACAATCGCCATATTAATGGTCTCCATTATTTGAGCCCACATTAACAAAAGGCTTAAATAAACTGTAGTTTGTTCAATTCGCTTATTCATCCCATCTCACCTTTATAACTCGAAATACTGAGAATGCATTATTTCATTCCCATTTGGTGTGACTATCCAGGGAAGTAGTGCCGCGAGAGAAAAGTGAAAAGAACCCCCATCGATGAGTGAAATAGAACATGAAACCATGAGCTCCCAAACAGTAGGAGAATAATTTAACTCATACCGCATGCCTACTGAATAATGAGCCAGCAACTCATAGGTAGTGGCTTTTATATACTCAAGGGCTACACTCTTGAGCAAATATTTTGTGCTAGAAAAAGAGTACTAAAAGAAGAACATGAAATTTATGGAAAAAAAAAATCATGCCTTACTTAAAATTTTAAAACAATCGTACAAATTTTTAATCTCACCTTTTGAGAGCATAAAGTGTGATTTAATTTAGTATGTACATATTTTTCACCACTACATATACATAAAAAATATTAAAAGATAATAGATGTCCAAAGTAGCCCTTACAGGTATTTTGATAAATATATTTATTTTTAATGATCTTTTTTTCTTTTTTTTTTTATAGACATATGATGGTACAAAGTACAAATATATGAATATCTGGGAGATCTAGATTGGTTGAATCCCTCATTTCCCACCCAAATTTAAAGATAAACCTTCGACTATAGAGAAAAATAATTAAAATGCCCCTCTAATAATAGGGAAATGTCTAGATTGTGTGGATAAAGCTTTTGCTAAATCCAAAAGAATACTTTTTCACCGTAGAAAACATGTCGCCACAATAGTCCATTAAGATTGTAGAGAAAATAACAAAAAAAACTGAAAAAAAAAAAAATTTAACTTTTGTGGAACATGGAAGGGGTCATCTGGGTTTTGGCTAAATGTTGGTTGAAGCCTTTTGTCGTGGGTTGTTTATTAAAACATTATGGCACAATGTGATCCATTGGATTTTGATAGACCATGCAATTCTAATGCAATATCATCATGCAGCAATGTGATCACATGGATAAAACATTGGCCATACAAAAAATGGTGAATTGTTGTATATGCAGGAATTCTCGATCTATGTTATATGCTCATTCTTGCTGTTCTTTGGTCTTACTGAGGGTATGGCATTTGATAGAGCATAATGGCAACAAACAATTTGTGTAACTGACTCCAAATAGTTGGGATAAGGCTCTAATGATGATGATGTTAACAATTTGTGCTGATTCCTCCCCGATTAGTTCTTTTAAGATAAATTTTGATGATAACTCTTTTGATCCCTGATTAATTAGAGCATTTGTAATCTTCTTAAAAAAAAATAAAAATAAATCAGGCATACAAGAGTTATATTCACACAATTCTTAATCTCTTGCAACTATATCAATAAGGTATAGACATCGCCCAATTTATTTTCTTCAATCAAGTAGTTCATCGATAGGAATTGAACTTGGGATCTAGTGGTAAATCATCAACAATTAACCAATCAAGTTTGAATCTTTTAGTAGATAAATAACTAAAATTTAAAATATACACGTTAAAATAAAGTTTAATTTATCTACCATATAGTAA